CGCCAGCCCCTCAAATTACTTTTAACACAGGTAATTTAGGACGTTCAGAGAACAAGAGTCAGGACACTTGATTCTGACCTGGGATCCTTTTATTGACATTTCAGGTAACTGGGAAAGATCCTGCCACTGTCTGTGAGGCTAGAACTCTGGGCTTTTAAAGCAGCACACCTGGGCCAGTGTTGTGTAGCAGGTTAAACTGGCAGCCATATTGGTGCCACTTTGAATCCTGGTTCTTCTGCCACTTTTTTTTTTTCCCAATATTTATATTTTGAAATTTATTTGAAAGGTAGAGTTACAGGGACAGAGTGGCGGGGGAGAGACAGAGAGTGAGAACGAGAGATCTTCCATCTGGTGGTTTATTCTCCAGATGGCCACAACAGCTGGGGCTGGGTCAGGCCAAACCCAGGAGTCAGGAACTTCCTCCAGGTCTCCCACATGGGTGCAGGGGCCCAAGAACCTGGGCCATCGTCTACAGCTTTCCCAGGCCATCAACAGGAAACAGGATCAGAAGTGGAGCAGGGGACCCATGCTGTGGCATAATAGGTTAAGCCTCTACGGTGCTGGCATCCCTATGGGTGCCACTTTGAGTCCCAGGTACTCCACTTTCGACCCAGCTCTCTGCTTATGGCCTGGGAAAGCAGCAGAAGATGGTCCAAATGCTTGGGCCCCTGTACCCATTTGGGAGACCCAGAAGAAGCTTCTGGCTCCTGGCTTCAGATCAGCCCAGCTCTGCCATTGTGGCCATTTGGGGAGTGAACCAGCGGAAAAAAGACTTCTTTCTCTGTCTCTCCCTCTCTCTCTGTGACTCTGCCTCTCAAAAAAATAAAGAAGTGGAGGAACCAGGATGTGAGATGCTAGCACTGAAGGTGGTAGATTACCTGCTATGCCATAGCGCCATAGCGTGTGCCCCCCCCCCCCATGCCAGCTGCTCTATTTCTGATTCAAGTCCCTGCTTGTGGCCTGAGAAAGCATTGGAAGATGCCAGATGCTTGGGCCCTGCCACCCACATGGCAGACTGGAATAGAGTTCCTGCCTCCTGGCTTCAGCCTGGCCCAGCCTCGGCCACTGTGGCCATTTGGGAGGCAAACCAGTGAATGGAAGATCTCTCTCTCTCTCTTTCCTCTCTTTGTAGCTGCGGCTTTCAGATAAGTAAATAAATCTTTAGGAAAGAAAAAAAAAAATAACTCACATGTTACAGAGAAAAGTTCCTGAAACTGAGTAACACTGGACTGACTGGGAAATGTGTAAAATTTAAATCAGGGGGAGACAGATGAACAGCTGGAGTTGAACTACTAGTCCACTCAGGGCTTTCTGTGTCAGGATTTTTAAACAGTTACTAATGAAGTAAAACATACTTGTCAAAATACAGTTGTAAAAAAATTCCAAATGCCAACTAAAAGACATTAGTATAAATATTTATTAATTATCTTAAATTAAAAAAAAAATTGGACTTTTGTACATGACCCCATAGGTGTACTTGAGAGTCAAAAACTGATTATTAGGGCTGAGACTGGAAGGGTGGAGAGGTATGGAGTACAGTCATGTCATTAATTGGTATTAAAAGATGAGAGAGTTCTTCCAATGTCAAAATAGTTAGTACCACTCAAGTTGTGAGCCATTTTTGGAGGTGCTCTGTGTTTTCTGAGGAAAAAAACAAGTTACAGATGATTCTTACAAGGTCTCTCCCATTTCATGTTCTTGTCCAGTATATGCCTAGATTGGATTTGTAAGTGAACTTGTTTGCATATTGAGTCATAGTGATTACAGAGAATTAACAAAGTCCTGTGTCTTCTCTTCCTAATGACATCATGTGTTTCCCAGATGGCCAAAAAGGCTTTGAAATCTCAGTCTGCTGCCTCGAGTACAGTGAAGGAAGACAAACAGCCAGCACCAGAGCCTGTGGCAAAGCCCCCGAGAGAACCAGCAAGGTGAGGGCGAATGTCCTCCTGTGTTCTTAGGTAAAACACTGAGCAGGATCTATTCCTCTGGGTGATTTTTTGGGAAAAAAAAAAATCTTATTTTGCAATGTATTTAAAATGCACAGTAACAAAGAGAGATATTGAGGGAGACCAAGAACTTCTATGCACTGGTTTACTGTCCAAATGCCCACAATTGCCTGGCCAGGGCCAGGCTGAAGCCGGGGGGGCCCAGGACTCCATCCAGATCTCCTATGTGGGTGACAAGGACCCAACCAATTGGACCATCATCTGCTACCACCCAGGTGCAGTAGCAGGAAGCTGGATTAGAAGTAGAGGTGGGATTTGATCCCAGGCACTCCAATATGGGATGCAGGTGTCCAAAGTGGTGGCTTTACCTGCTGCAATATACTGCCTGTCCCTACTCTTGTTGATTTGATACTAACATGTTACTGAGTTTCTTGTGCAAAGCACTGTGGGAAATGGTGGGCACACCCTAGGAAAATGAGAATATTGCAGATGGGATATCTTGGGTTCCTATCATAAGCTCTTTATTGGCTTATCCTTCATAGAAGATTCTACCTCCATTTTGTTCTCCTTGCTTGCCCATATCTACTTGGTACTTCCATGTGGATACATAATCTTTTAATGCATCCAGGAAGCAGTGTTCAGATGTGTGATCAAGATTCCAAGACCAGTAGCTAAAGTGGGGCGTTACAAGTCTAGATGCCTCTGTGGGCCTGGTAAGAAGTGTAAGGAGCAAAGCAGGTGTGGGATGAAACAGCTGAGAACATGGGACTGGTGACCAGAGATGCAGGCTTTTCAGCTTCTTATGAGTGATACTCTGAGGAAATGACCAAGCATGTCCAGACTTCCATTGTTCAAGTTTTGTGTGAGATGTCCAGGTTTATGATATGAGACTTCTCAATTTTGAATGGTGGCAGTTCATTAGGAAGAAAAAAAAACACACATGTGGTTAGGCAACAAGGCACCTCTATCAGCTGGATTTGGCTTGAATGCTCCTCTCCTGATAGTTTTGACATTAAGCATGCTAGCTGTTCCAAATGATAGGTGAACTTTATTTTGAAAAGGCAGTTTCTTGGGGCCAGCACTGTGCCACGGCGGGTTAAAGCCCCAGTGTGCAGTGCCGGCATCCCATATGGGCGCTGGTTCAAGTCCCAGCTACTTTTGATCTAGCTCCCTGCTAATGTTCCTGAGAAAGCAGCAGAAGATGGCCCAAATGCTTGGGCCCTGCACCCACTTGGGAGACTCGGAAAAAGCTCCAGGCTCCTGGCTTTAGATTGGCCCAGCTCTGGCTGATTTGGGGAGTGATCCAGCAGATGAAGACCGACCGTGCGCTCTCTTTCTTTCTCTCTCTACCTCTCTTTGTAACTCTTTCAAGTAAATAAAATAAATCTTTTAAAAAAAAAAAAGATTCAGGCCTGCGCCGTGGCTCACTAGGCTAATCCTCCGCCTTGCGGTGCCGGCACACCGGGTTCTAGTCCTGATCGGGGCACCAGATTCTGTCCCGGTTGCCCCTCTTCCAGGCCAGCTCTCTGCTGTGGCCAGGGCGTGCAGTGGAGGATGGCCCAGGTGCTTGGGCCCTGCACCCCATGGGAGACCAGGAAAAGCACCTGGATCCTGGCTCCTGCCATCGGATCAGTGCGGTGCGCCAGCCGCAGTGCACCGGCCGTGGCGGCCATTGGAGGGTGAACCAATGACAAAAGGAAGACCTTTCTCTCTGTCTCTCTCTCTCACTGTCCACTCTGCCTGTCAAAAAATTTAAAAAAAAAAATCAAAGATCATATAAATTTAAAAATAAATAAATAAAAGAAAAGGTGGTTTCTCATTGTGGAGGAGAAAGGAGCAGAGTGGAGACCAGTCTTTGTCTTCTCACATGAGAGTTGGAGTGGAATGGCTAGAAAAGGCTAGACCTGCAGGTGAGATTGCTGGTTGATCACTTGATGGCCCAGGTGGGCGCCATCCAGAGTTCTCACATGATGGGAAGACAGAAAGTGCTTTAGTCCATACACACTTCAAGTTCTGGATAGCACAACGGCTTCTGGAGGGAGCCTTTACGGAGTTCCTTTAAGATTTTCTTACTTGGATTTTAAACTCCATAATCCAACTTATCTATTGTATTTAAAGTGTTTATTTGCACTCATTATAAATAAGAGCTATTATGAATAAAGGCAGTGTGAAGCTAACCACCCCCCCAGTGTCTCTCACTTCTCTCTCTTTAAAATGGGGCGTGCTCAACTGAAGGATTCCTCTTGGTCATTGAGGTTGACCCTGCAGAGAAGCTGTGGCTCTTTGGCTGAACATCAGCAATGGTGAAACTGACCCTCACATATTTCCTTTATTTGCAGGCAGCTACAGAACACACCAACCACCATTGGAATCACAACTCTGAAGGCAGCTTTCAAGGCTCTGTCTGGTGCACAGGATTCTGATGCCGCCTTCTCAAAATTGGACCAGAAAGATTTGGTACTTCCTAATCCAGTGACCCCACCATCACCAGCCCTCAAAAACAAGAGACCAAGAAAAGATGAAAATGAAAGTTCAGCCCCTGCTGAGGGCGAGGGCAGCTCAGAACTGCAGCCCAAGAGCAAGCGCATGACGATAAGCAGATTGATTTTGGAAGAGGACAGCCAGAGTACTGAGCCGAGCACAGGCCTCACCTCCTCCCAGGAGGCTGTTCCTGCATCACCACCCAAGCCCACGGCTCTCAACCAACCCCGCCCCAGGGAGAAGAATTCCAAGTATGAAGAACTTATTTGTAGCAGTTTTCAGGCTTGGTGGTCCTGGTTGGGCCTGGTATTACTTCTGTGAATGAAGTAACTCAGCTAAGTTACCACCAAGGCTTGCTCAGACTGCTAGAATGCGACTTGGGAGTGGGGCGTGACGCCGTAGCCACATCCCTTCAGTTCTAAAGCCCCACATGGAGGCTTCCAAGCATTGCACTAGGGCAGGAGTGAGGATGGACAGGTTTCAGAGCCTCCTGCTCATCGATGCTTTCATTTTTAGCAAACATCTGAGTGTCTTGACTATAATTATTAGTCTTGTTTGTTAAAAGAAGTTTATTTGAATTGGGTCGTTACGCCTTGATCCCTAAAAGTGACTGATGAATATTTCTAGCTTTGTACCTTTTGTGAGCATTTGAGACTGGGCAAATTCAGTACATATTTGCTAATCTCCCACATTGAGCTAGGTGCTCTGGGGCGGTGGTTAGGATCGTGTTGCTCCCCATCGTGACTCCCAGCCTGGCGTTTGAGTTTTGCTGTCCTTTGTGCCCTGTGTGGATCCTCCTTCCAGGCAAACTGGTCTGCTTGCTCTCTCTGGAACACACTGTGTTTGTTTCTGCCACTCTACTTCCACTTCTTCTCATTCCTCACAGTGAACTGGCATCCCTCCATTGCTTGTCTGAATCCCATTCGTCCTTCAGAGGGAGAAGAAACCATTGTTGATTAAGTGCTTCCTGGGGCCAAGCACTTTGCTGTAAAATCTCACTGAATCTACATTCCTCACTCGGTGAGGTGATACATTAACCCACTGGGTAGATGAGGAAGGAGGAAGGCTCAGAACAGTTCTTAGCTCACTCAAAAGTGACAAGGATGAGCTTTGGGATTTTTTAAGTCAAGTCAGTCTTGACAGAAAAGCCTACGTCCTATATGCCATGTATACCAAGTTGCCTCTTAAAATTCTGCCTCCTCCATGAACTCTTCCCTGTTCACCCCTGCTGAAATGATTCACCTTGCTGACCTCCCAAAGCCATTGCCATCTCTACCACTGCTCTGTGTTGTAGTTGTTTGGGGACCTGTGCTCTGCATGCATTGTACAAGGTGCTCCAGAGGGCTGTGGCATCAGGACAGTGATTTATACTTGGGCACAAATCTGTACTGGGAGTGCTCAGCTTGTATTTGGAAGTCAGTCACAGCTGATGGGCCGCAGACGCAGCTCCACACACGCTTCCCGTTTGATGCATGATTTAATTTACTCCGCAGCAGCCCTATGGAGTGTAGGTGTTATCCCATGAACAGGTGAGGAAATGCGAGGGTGCTAGACTACAGTGGTCTTGTAAATGGGAGGATTTGTGAAAGTTCCAGATACACCCACCTCTCATATGTCGAGGTTTGAAGTGTAACAGGTACTCTGATGCAGGGGGTGGCAAAGCATGGCCCTCGGGCCAAGTCTGCCCACTGCCTGTCTGTGTAAATAAAGTTTGAGTGGAACACAGCCACACCCATCAGTTACACATTGTCCATGGCTGCTTTCCGCGCTGACCATGAGTGGAGTGGTGGCGACAGAGACAGTAGGGCTTGCAAAGCTGCAGATACTATTTGGTCCTTTACAGAAAAAAGGGGTCCCTGACTTCAACTCTTAGAGGAGGAATGTGAGGGGCCCTCGGAGCTGGGGGAGAAGAGCTGTGCCGGCGCAGCAGTTTTAGTGAAGCAAAGGTCACAGAGGAGCAATACTGAGTAGGTCATCAAGCATGGCGGGGTTCCGGGCAGTGGATCGCCTGCCATATGAGCGTGAGAAAGCCTGGTGTACTACCTGTAGTCTGTGTGATGGAAGAATGTAGTGCACGGGTGAGGAAGAACAGTCTGGATGGGTCTGTGGGCCAGATCTCGAGTTTCTATTGCAGTTGGTCAGGCCAAGGTGCTCAAACTGGGCTTTGTGTCACAAATACCTGTGGAATTGTGGGGGAAAAAGTCCCCATGCTCCTGACCACTGAATTTGAAGAGGCAGAAGAATGTAATCTGCTTTTGTGACCTTGCTCCAGATAATTCCAATACAATTACTTGGAGGCCTGATGAGACAGCCCCAAGGGCTCCTGGACAGGCACTGAGTAGGCTGGAGATGGCCTTGGTAAGCAGGGAGGGTGTGAGGAAGCCCGGCAATCTGGAAGGCAGTTAGGGGCGATCACTGGGGCAGGGCTTTGGCTCCTAGGCTTTGTCTCAGTAGCACCTTGCATGTAGCAAGGTAACCAAATATGATTCTTGTTCTTGCAATGTAAGGGGTGACACCCAAACTTTGTAAAAGGCCAGCAGAGGTATTGTAGGCCACATAATTTCTCCATCTTATGTTTTTTTGCACTTTTTAAAAATGTAAAGACCTTTAGCCCATTAATGTCACATAAAGCCAGCAGCCAGACTAGTTAGCTGGCTCCTGGTAGACTCCTGCTCATGGAGTTCTCACTTTGCAAGTGAGCAACTTAAAGATCATAAAGTGGCCCGAGTTGCCTGGGCCCACAGAACCACCAACAGTTAATAGGCCTAATCTTAGCCCCTTCCACCCAAGAACTGTCAACAAGAAATCATTGTCTGAAACACTTCAAGCGACTACCAGGGCAGTTGTATAGGAATAATGCCCATAAGCAGGGATGCGGCCTGTGAAGACAACAGCTGCACACTGGCTTGAAGTCAGTTTTATGCCAGCACTGAGCCAAGAACAGAGAAAACTGTAGCCCCTCTGACTTTTTGTTGACAGTAATATTCAGAGGAAGAAAAACCTTATGTAATTCTTTCCCTGTGTCATTAGCAAATTTATTTCAGGAGTTTGGGTCATATGATCCGATTTAAAAACAAAGGAGAGTCCACCATTTGTCTTCTAACAGTTGGTTAAATAACTTAATAAAAACGAAACTCAAAGGAATTTTTCCAAACCTATGTACTTATCAGCCAACTGCTTTCATTAGTTATTTGCAAAATAACCAGAGTGTTAAAAATTGTTTCTTTTCATGTAGAAGAACAGATTTGTCCATTGTCTTGGTCAGCTTGTACAAGTTATTTACATATGTTTTCAGAACTCTTAATTCAGACATTTCTGTTTGTTTTGTAAGCGATGTTTTCATTTTCTGAGGCCAGTCAGGTAACAAAGTTGATTAGAAGAGGCAGATCAGTTTTCATTTACTTTGGGTTTGGGTTTATTTTTCAGTTGGGGGACTTTCCTTGGGCTATACCCAAGTACTTAACATCTCAGGCTCAGAGGAAGGATTCTTGCTTATTTAATCCTTGATGTTGTAACGCCTGTGTGGTGCTTGGACAATCCCATTATTGCCTTACTTACTGTTAGGGGGTGTGTGACTGCGCTGGGTGTTGGGTAGCAAATGAAGATTTGGTCCCTGCCTTTAAGAAGCTCATGGTTGGGGCACATTGTGAAATGCTTCTTTATTGAGTGGATGCCTGTGCCACAGCATAGAGGACTAGGGACTTTGTGTTGGGGTTGGTAGTAAGAGGAAGCTTTGTTGAGAGATGGCCTTGGAGGATGGCTAGGATTTGGGCAGGGAAGGGACTCCCAGGTAAAGGGAACAGGACACACAGAGCAGGAAAGTGCAGAGCTTATAGGAGGAAGAAGAGCAGTGGTGCTGTGTGTGCGTGCGTTTGTGAGAGCTGGGGGCAGACTGGGTGTTCTGGGTGCCCCATAAAGGCATTAGGCTCTGCCGTTCACACAGGGAGAAGCCATCACAGGCATGAGGGGTGTGGTCAGTGCAGCACACTTGTTCTGGTGGCTTTGGAAGGGAAAGGCCAGTGTAATCCTGATGAAAGGCACCAGTGTCTTGAACTAGGGGAACCGAGGAGGGAAAGCAGGTCCACCCAGGGATGAGCATCAAGGAGGAGTTTGTAGCTTCTGGGTTAGAAAAGTCAAACACAATCAAAACAAATTCCAGGAAGAAAAGAGATTTCGGGTGGCGGTGATGTACTCAGTGCTGTTTGGGCAGTGGTCCTGCAGCCTGGGGGTGTTCACGTGGAGATGCTGGCCAGCCAGGGAGGGAGGCAGTGGATTTGGAATTGTATGCAGATGGACCTCACATGTGGGCGCAAACAAGGATGAGTACGGGCCAGCGTGTGGAGGACAGAGTATGGGATGTGCTGGGATGAATTTGTTTTACATCTTGTTCTCTCTTTGATCTCCCTCAGAGTGCCCAAGAGCAAGTGGAACAGCTCTAACGGGGTGGAAGAAAAAGAGACCTGGGTGGAAGAGGACGACTTGTTTCAAGTTCAGGGTAAGCCGTGGAATTGCCTCGGCACTTCCTTAATGTTTGCTGGATTACAGATATATGTTGTTCTCTTCATGTTCCAGAATCTACAGCTGTCAAAATAGAAAAATTTACTAAGGTCTGACCTCATTTGGATTGACGAGGAGTCAGTTTCATGTCCTTTCCCAGTAAGCCATGGAGACTGTCAGAGCAGCACTTTATGATTAAAGAGAATTCCTAGCTGTATTTCAGTAAAAACTATGATTTAATATAGTTGGTGTTCTTCCTAAAGTCCTTTAATTAGAAAAGATGGTTATGGGTCATTCCCTCCATTTTTTTGGTTGTTGTTGAAGAAAAAAAAAAACTCTTACTAGCTCTATATATACATATTTTTTTTCTTTTTTAAATTAATTTATTTTGAAAAATCAGAGTTAGAGAGAGGGATCTTCCACCTGCTGGTTCACTCCCCAGATGTCCAAAACAGCCAGCTCTGGGCCAGGCTGAAGCCAGGAGGCAGGAGTTTCTTCCAGGTCTCCCATATGGGTGGCAGAGGCCCAAACACTTGGGTCTCCCTCCACTGCTTTCCCAGGCTATTCGCAGGGAGCTAGATCAGAAGTGAAGCAGTAGGGACACCCATAAGGGATGGCATCGCAGGCAGTGGCTCTATGTGCTATGCCACAGTGCCAGCCTCAATCTTTTTTTTGAAAGGCAGCATTAAAGGGAGATCCTGCTGGTTCATTTCCCAAATGGCTGCAAGGGCCAGGGCTGGGCCAGGCTAAAGCCAGAGCTTTTTTCAGGTCTCCAACATGGATATAGGAGCCCAAGTATTTGGGCCATCCTCCACTGCTTTCTCAGACACATTAGCAGGGAGCTGGATCGAAAGTAGAGCATCTGGGGCTTGAACTGGCCCCAGTGTGAGATGCTGGCATCACAGGCAGTGGTTTAACCTGCTGTGCCACAACACTAGCTCTGAGACGTGATCTCTTATTTATAGGCTGAGAAGAAGAGCTTGAAAAGACCTCACATGGTCTGTAGGAGTGCGGACTCTTGCTCAGGAAACTGACCCAAATTAAACTTGGATAAAATGAGTAAGGATTTGAAAATTCTGATTTAAATCAATAAAACTGTTATATCAAAGCAGTGGCTGGCAGGGAGCCATAAAGCAGAAATACCATATCATATACATACATACATGTTAGAGTTTTAAATAAAACAGTCCTGGGGTAGGTATTCGGCATGGCAGTTAAGTTGCTGCGTGAGATTCATGTATCTTATATTGAAGTGCCTGGTTCCAGTCCTGGCTCCCCCACTTCCAATTCCGCTTCCTGCTAATGCACACCCTGGGAGGCAGCAGGTGATAGCCCAAGTGTTTGGTCCCTGCCACCCACATAGGAGACCCAGATGCAGTTCCTGGCTCCTGGTTTCAGCTTGGCTTAGCCCTGGCTTTTGTGGGCATTTGG